TATCGTTATTCAAATTACAATGTGTACGTAACCGACGACTCTCGGCTACAAAAGTGTGATGTACATAAGTGTATATAGAGTAGACGAGTAGACTGAGTGAAGGGGATGTGTGGTGTTAATGACTTACCCCCAGTCACACCCTCTATTTCCCTGTTCTCCCGTACCTCCCTGTGTTATCGGGACTGTGAACTCACAGCCAAGAGGTAGTTAACGAGTCAAGTACCAAGTGCTTAGCCTTGCAACTGGCCATTCCCCAAGGGTGCAACGGCATGGATGGCAGAACAGGGTGGAGAGATTCCTCCACGCCCCCTTCGCGCCATAACATAGGGTGACAGCGGTGGGGTACCTCCACGCCCCCCTGTCACCACGGTGTAACAATGGTGGCAGCGGTGGGATACCTCCACGCCCCCTTCCACCACGGCGTAACACCTGCGTACTACGAGTCATGAGGTGGGAACGTTACCTCTAGACTATGGAGGCCGCTAATGTTACATGTATGGAAAGTCATTGTGTTAAACAAGGATTCTTTTGGCACCTTCATCGCGATGAGGAATTCCTAACTAGCTGCCCGTGTTTTTCTTTTAAGCTATTTATAGGTAATAGTCTGTAAGGTGTCCCAGGAAGTGACCCTTTTCGCCCTACCCTTGTCTAGGAGAAAGATCACATTCCAACAGTTCATCTTGTGCAGTTTTAACCACTGATAAATGTACAGTATAGTGACTTGTTTCATTGTGTATTGTGTGATATCAGTTAAATTCCAGTTGACAGAAACACCATGCAGTGTCTTTCCCTCCTTGCCACAGAGGCTTCCTCATCTTGTGAGCTCCCAGTGACCAAGGTTGGACAGTGATGTGACAATACAATTATGCAGGCCCATGGTTTAAGACTTTTGCCCCATAAAACATATACTGCATTTTAGTTGATGTTGGCTGCAAATTTTTGAAGAACCTTAATTATGACCAGTGGCATGCAGTACTATTTTTGGTTAGGGAAGCAGTGGTATCTAATAAACGAACTGATAGCAATCAACTCACCGAAATGTACGTCACTTATTGAGTCAATAAGGTTATTTTGTATTCTGTTCGATAAACCTGTAAATACTGTACTGTTCTCAAGGTGAACATTGAGTTTATGATCGTATTTCCACAACAAGTGAACTAATTCCACATAATTACCTCGGTCAGTAGAATCCACGCTTTTGTCATGACCACGCAGGCATGATATCAATCAAGCATTTCTTTATGTAGTATCGTCAGGCGCTTTTGATTGTCAAGTTGACAGTCTATTCGAGATTTCCAGAACATAACAAGTTGCACTGTTGAAATAATGTGAGTCTGAGAGTTCTCATGACATTTCAGTGCTTTATGAAGGTTGTTGATATCACCAAACCCAATCTTTTTCCATACATTTTTTTTTATTAAGAAACAATAGGCATGGCCAACAAAACAATTTTCCTATATTACGGCAACTGGATAGCCACTGTTTTAGAATACTGTTCTAAATTAAATTTCCTCACACATAATTTGGTTTGTACTTTAAGTTCTGGCAACTCTCATGTCGGTCGTCCTCTTTCTGTTTCTTTACAGAAAAGTCCCTGCTATTAAACCCCCCTTTTAAAAGGCTTTTGATTGCACAGTTGCAGTCACGTTGTTGGCCAGCATTCATTTCAGCTGTGGCCTGTGCGTGTAGTCTACTCACTCCCTTGCCCATCTTACCGCAATATTGCTTCCCTTAAAGGCGGATTGCTTCTTTCTGATGCGTCAAAATATGATCACAAATACAATCTTACGCCCTATAAATATGCACTTACAATATTTTAATGAAACTTAATGTTACCTTAATGTTACTGCGATGTGGAAAGCAAATGGAAAAACTACCACATTATCACTTTTCCTGGATAGTCTCTTTCCAAAAACAGAAGATCGCATTAAGTGGAGAAACTGTTTTGGAAGAGGCTGTGGAACTGTCATCTGACAGATTACTGATGAATGAATGAATGAATGTTACCTATAACACCCAACAAGAGTGAAATCACACATAAACACTTAATTTTCACATAACCATTGAAAGAACACAGTCCTTTGCTTCCATATCACAGGCATTAGCCAGCAAACCAAAAGTTGCTTCCATGCCCACTTCATGTGAGACGAATTACTATGAAGTTTAACAAAGGAAACTTGGTCAGCCCACCAAGCAGGGAAAGGGAGCAGGTGGAGGAGACATATGGCCTTGAGCAGGAACACGAGCTAAATGACAATATTCAAATCCTTATTATTCAAATTGAATTATTTATATATGACTTCTTTTCTTTTCTTTTCGTTTCTTAACTACGGAAGCAATGCTTGCCTTGCTTCCATGCACAGCATGCCACTGATTATGACATTGAAATAGAACCGCTTAGACTGAGTACGAAAGTTTGAATAATGCATCTCTTTGATGTTAGCAATTTGTCATAAAGCAAGATAGAAATACAATGTCAGTTAAGTTCTTTGATGTTTAAAATATTTTAGAAATGGGAATACATTATATACAAGCAAACTAGCATTTTTCTTTCATCAATATATATTGATGTCATTTGTTTCATGATCTCCGTTTGTGACTGTGTGGCAAATGTAATAAGAGGAAACTTGTGCTGCCAGTGTAATGCTGTAGGTGTGGGAACAACAAGTTATATGGATTCTATCCACCTATGTTATAAGGAGTGTTATTTTCATTATGAATGTTGTAACTGAAATGTGTTCATTTGATTAGGTTAAAAATGTAAACAGTTATTGGTTATGTGCAGTTTGTGTGCCAGTACTATAACATGCATTTAATTGTGGAGTATAGTGGCTGTTTCACAACCATCTCCTATGTACATAATGTCAAATAGTCTCATGTATTCAAATCATGGCATGTAGAACAACTCGCAATGTAAGGCATATATGCTGAGTATTAGTGGGATTACAAGTGCTTCATATGTTAAGCTGACACATTTACTCCAAGCTGACACATTTACTCTCACATATATGCACATGCAATGAAATTTGGGTAGTATATCAGTGTGACTTATGGAATGTGCAGCAAATAAGGGATGGGACATTCACTTGCACGGGATTGCACGTAATTAGCCTTTGGTCACAAGTAGAAAAGGTTACGTATATTTAAGAAAACCTTTAACTTTTCAGTTCAGAGAATGCTGAAGAATATAAGACTGTTGAATTGTTATTCATTATTTTCTCATCATTCTGATAACTGCTCTGAAGAAACGCAAATATTGTCATACCCACATTGTATTCAAACTTAATTTGAGCTACATATATGAGGCTCGTCCACAAAGTAAGTTTCCCTGGGGCCGTTTACAGAAACAAAACATAATTTCATGGAAATATTTATTGCAACAGATACAGCAAGTGTTCAGCTATTTTTCAACATAATCACCACCGGAATTGAGACATTTGTCATACCGTGGGACCAACTTTTGAATACCTGTGTCATAGAAGTCTGGAGCCTGGGATTGGAACCACTGTGAGACAACCATCTCTGCCTCTCTGTCATTCTCAAAATGCTGACGCTCACCGGACAGGAATTTCTTGAGGTGTAGGAAAAGATGGAAATCACTGTGAGAAAGGTCCGGGCTGTAGGGTGGGTGATTAAACACCTCCCAGCTGAACTCCTGCAGGAGACTTGCTGTCCTTCGAGCCATGTGAGGCCTAGCGTTGTCGTGCAGGAAGACAATACCGGCACTAAGCATCCTGCGCTGCTTGTTCTGAATGGCCCGTCGCAATTTCTGCAGTGTTTCACAGTAATGCTGTGAATGCTGCATTCACTGTCTCACCTCTGGTCAGGAAGTCGACGTGGAGAACGCCCCCTCTGTCCCAGAATACCGTGCACATCACTTTCTGCACTGACGTCTGCTTGAATTTCGTCTTACAGGGAGCTCCACTGTGACACCAATGCATTGACTGCTGCTTGGTTTCTGGGGTAATGTGTGCAATCCATGTTTCATCACCTGTGATGATCCGGTCCAGAAACTCGTCGCCGTCATCATGGTACCGCTGCAGAAAGGTCAATGCTGACTCCATGCGCTTTGTTTTGTGTTCTGGTGTCAGTTGCTTCGGCACCCACCTGGCCCACAATTTCCTGAACAGCAGGTGCTCCGTGACAGTTTCGTGCAACAAGGTGCGGGAAATCTATGGGACATGACTGCTGAGTTCCGCAATTGTGATACGACGATTCTCCATAATGTGTTCCCACACAAGCTCCACCAGGTCGTCTGTAATGATGGATGGCCACCCACTGCGCGTCTCATCATGCACACTTTGTCGACCTACTGAAAATTGTCTGCACCAGTGACGCACCATCTGCTTGCTCATGACGTTAGGCCCATAGACCCGGCACAGATGATGATGAATTTTGATCGGCGCTATGCTCTGTGCTTTCAAAAACTTTATCATTGACCGCACTTCACAGTAGGTGGGAGTTGGAATAAGAGCCTCCAGCTGCAACGATGCTACTGTGGGAACGTGGGAAATTCCGTTAGTGCATGCGCCATGCTACGTCATGGCTCTATCATGTACGCACAGTCGCTTCGCGCAATATAAGGTTTGCTAGCTGTGGGATGAGTGGGAAACTTACTTTGTGGACGTGCTACGTATCAGTCATTTTCAGATATTGCAAGTATCCATTAGAATGAGCATTTTTTTATAAACTTGACAAGTTCTCATAATATTGGGGTGCACTGCATGTTTGTAACTGTCATTTCGAGAGAGATCTTCAGAAATAGGCCATTTATGAAGCTGTAGTTCTTGTTCTCTTCCTGTGGCGAAATACGTACACATTTCCCTCATCCATACCTTCAGTAGGTTACCTAACCTCCTCTGTGCCTAGTGTACTGAATTCTTACTTTGTTACTTATGCAGCCAATGAATCCCAAGCATCTGTCATATGTAAACTCCCAACATTGAAAGTACTAAAATTTCTGTCATCTTTTATTTTTATAATTCTGGTTTGGTTTACAGATTTGTTACACAGACCTTTAACCAATGGTGTAAACAATGGGAACGTGACCCCTACTGAGTCAAGCTCTAGTTCTCTCCATTCGGTTCCACGGGTGACAGTGACAGATCTGCACAACCCTGAACAGCTTGCTGTCACAGTTTCAGAATTACCAGATATAAGCATTGGCATTGGTGGACAGCACTCCCCATGTACTTCATTTACACCTAGCCCAGATGGTCAGTTTAAGAAGAATGTACCAGAATACAGTAGCTTCAGAATCATGAAACAGAAGGTATCTATGCTTTTCACAGAGAGAAATCCTTCAGTTCTATCAGTTATTTCTACATCCATATGTTTTTCTCCATAACATGGCCAGGAACTTGCTTTTGATTACTTTGGTGGGTCATTTCATAAATAATGCACAGGTTGGCAACACTGCGGATTAGATGACGCAACAACAGTGAGCCTCACGTCAGTTACAGTTCAGGGCTTGAGGAAGAAGCGTGTTATTTTGTTTCATTTGTAATATACTCTGTTCTTAAATAACGTGATTTAGAAATGGAGCCTGCATGGTTCTCAGGTATTGTGATTGTTGAAGATCAAAGGTTGTACATTAAGATCAAAACTTTACGTGGAAAAATCCTGGCAGAAATCAACAGTGCTTTAAGTGAAGTTTGTGGCGAGTTAACAGTGGACCGTAGTACAGTTTCTTGCTGGGCTAGTCGTTCTCATGGTGGTCGTGTGAGCATAAACGCTGATCCAAGGCCAGGAAGGCCGAAAACATCAACAGATGAATGAAATGTGAAACTTGTGTCAGATGCTCTTGAAGAATATCATCGTGCGACATGTGAGGAACTTTCTGAAACCACGGGGATTCCACCAACATCAATATTCTGAATTCTGACAAATGATTTAAAGAAGAGAAAGATTTTTGCGCAATGGTTCCCTCACTGATTGACTGCTGAACAGAAGCAGAAACGCCTCAACATTGCAACCTTGCTGAAACAAAGATTCGACGCTGAAGGTCAAGCATTCTTGTATCGACTTGTCGCTACTGATGAAACGTGGGTTAGAGACTTTGAACCGGAGCTGAACTCACAGTCCAACGAGTGGAGAGGTCCATCTTCCCCATGACCAGAAAAATTTTGACGATCTCAAAGGTCAAACAAATGATGATCTTTGCTTATGATCACCAAGGAATCATCATGAGAGACAGAGTTCCATGTGAGAAAAGTGTCACAGCAGTTTATTATCGTGACTTTATGCAAAATCTGCTCAGAAAAATGCACAAAACCGACCTCAGTTGCTCGAGGCTGGACCAGTCATTCTCCATGACAACAGTCGCCTGCACATCGGGAATGTCGCAACAGAAAAGCTGCGCCAATACGGTTGGGAGGTGTTGCCTCATGCTCCCTACATCCCAGACATGAGTGCACCAGACGTTAACTTATTCCCCAAGTTGAAACAACCTATGCGAGGCCGTCGTTTTCCCTCTCTGGAAGAGCTTTCTGCTGCAGTTACCTGAGCCATTCGACAGATAAACAAAGATGGTGTTCTGGATGGAATAGTAAAGCTTCCCACATGTTGGACTCAGTCATTGAGAAGCATGGGGACTATACTGAAGGACTGTAAAGCGATATAAAAAAAAATAAACATGGACATAAACAAAAAATTGTGTGTATTATTTCTGAAATGACCTACATATATACGTGCAGTGAAATTTTGTCAATCAGCTATGTCTGATGGAACCAAAGTAATTCCTCAGCAGCAAAGTTGTAATCCCTGTTCATAAGCCATGCAGGGTTGCTGTCACCTGATTTGGCTCATAGTACAGTCAGCCATAGCATATTCTCATACCTCTTGTTTCTCTAACATGGTATTCCCCTTCCCTTGATCCTTAATGTCATTTTCATGTGCCTCCTTTCTACAAATCCCATCCCTCTGTTTATTGCTTGGCACTTTGAAGTCTTCTGTGGAGCTTCTTGCTTCCTCTCTGTCTCAGATATCCAACATGTACACTTGCAAGATTCCCTTTACGTTTGTTTGATTTATTGCCATACTGTGCAATGTAGACTTCAAAATTTAAGTTTGAATTTGTGCTGGCTGAAGTGCTGGAGATGAGGGTGCCCTTGTCATGCACTTTCACTTGGGTGCTGTTAAGGTGATGTTCCACTGCAGCAGTGTCCTAGTTCTTTTCTCTTTCTGGCACGTATGCCATTTTTGTTATATTCATGTACGCAGAAAGTTATTGAGTAGTTTGAATTGTTCAGAAATAATTAGGTTAACTTTTCTAGGCGTATTCTATGTTCATTCAGAGTTTTCTTTTGTCGTTAAGAAAATAAGACTTGATGCTATGTCTGGCTTTACTTGGATGTACATTTGTTTTTAGTTCTGCCAAGAACTAGATTGCAGTAGCAGTAGCAGTAGCAGTAGCAGTGCCTCATTCTTAGACCAGTTTCGTAACATATTTATCAGCCTGTAATTCTATATTAATAGTGACTAATGACAATAATTCTGCTCATTTCTTGTTATATTCTTTGTTCATTTGTTAGCATACTTATCAGGTATTTGTATTGTTTGTTTATTATAATTTTTATGTTATTCTATAGTCTTCTATTTCTTGTGGTATTTCAGGAACGTAATTGAGCCATGTGATAAGATATATGCCTGTATTTAGATCCCCATTCCATTTAGGGAGCATTGAAACCTGCAGCTGAATTGAATATAATGAAATGGCTCCTTTGTTGAGTAATGTTTGAAGACTTTCACTTTCATTGACAGAGCTGATCATATAAGATGACTTCACTGAATTTAGTCACGATTAGAACCTTTCATTATCTGTAGTCTCCCCATGTCTGTGCATGTGTATAGATGTGAATAAGCTTGTGAGTGTCTGCATTGCCATTTTGTGTGTGACAGTATGGGGGCTGCTTTACAGTGTTGCCAGTATCTAGACCAGCCTTTCTCAACCTTTTTACAGTGGAGGAATCCTTGAAATAATTTTCAAATCTCAAGGAACCCCTGCATAAAAATTATTGTTAAGGATAGGCTCTGGAATTATTGTAAATAAATGTTGTAAACTGATCTTGATTAGTTACTTACAACATAGCAGCCTCTGTAGTCTAGGGGTAACATTCCCACCTCATGACTCAAGGTACACGGGTTCAAACCCGGCGGATATCGTGGAATTTTTAAGGGCGGAAAAATTCAGGGAACAAGTCCTCCGGGAGAGACTTTAAGCTGTGTGTCCCGTGTTGTAGATTTACGGCATGTAAAACATCCTCATGTCTCTAGGAGACCTCTGAGCAAAATTAGGCAAAAAGCTTCCCGCCCAAGTAGTTTCCAATTCCTCCAGTAGATGGGGAAGTATCGGGGACCACTGCCAGAGAGGTGGCCAACCTC